CAAGCACCTGGACAATCACAGGAAACATGAGTATCGCTCGATATTATCACACAGCATCCATATTAGCAAATGAAAAAGTATTAGTTACTGGTGGACAGAACAACGGTAGTTCTCTCAATAGTGCTGAGCTTTATTAATAGATATAGACAGAATGACACTTTCTTTTGTGAACTGAATCATAGTTTTCTTTATATGTAATCGAATTATTTAATCATTCACATTTCTTAATAAATTATCATTCGTCAAATAATATATGAGTCGCAGTAAGGTCTTGAAGTCATATTGTATGGCGGTTGTTAAACTAGAGCCATGATTTGATAAAAGACAGATCATTTTTTAAACAACTCAGTGGATATAAATACAGATGTAAAGAATAGTAATCATTCCGTATTATTAACCATATGTATTCGGATGAGAATGAGTTCACATGTGATAATAATGTAAGAATAATCATTCTCAAGTGAATATCAGAGGTGAACAACTCAATAATATGTTGATGGTGTGGATTTGGGTGCTTATCTTCTACTAATTCACACCCATAACCATACCCACTCATCCACACCCACCCTTCTTTCAACAAAACTGACTTTCAAAAGGAAAAAATCATTTATTTGTTCTTGTCTTTTCTCGAATGCTCTTCCATCAAAAAAATAAGTCTATGATGAGAGTGCAGTTCTATTTATAGGTAATCAAATATTCGGCAAATGCTTGTGCATCATGATACGTAACGAAAATGTGGTTACCATCAGTTGTTGAATCATATCCAATAGGTCGAGTTTTCATCGAACTATTTCCTAGGACTGTGCTTCCCACTAGAACACGAGACACAAATATAAATCGTTCCCCCTTCGTATTTGGAATAGCATAGGTGTGACTGTAAGTAGCATTTGATGAAAAATAAACTCCAAATCCATATACCGTACCTAAAAGTATGATAAATCGAATAATACTACGCGAGCAGACGCAAGTTAGGAGCTTACCATTTACCCCTGCGAAACTTCTATTAAAACAATCTCCAATAATCAAATCTGCAGCTTTCTCAGGACATCCATGATATAAACGCTTTTCGGTATCTATCTTGAGCCGTTTTCTGAAATCTCGGCAATGTGCTAGATATTGCATGTACCATCGTTCATTTTGAATTCGTTCGATTTGTATAACTTGCGTATATTTTCCTTTCATTGCCTGATCAAAGTTGGTGACAATCGATTTATATTCATTTGTATTGATGGATACTATGACGCGTACTTTATTTTCTGTTGATTGTATCCATGTGGAAGGCAACTCATGGCTAATTGAAGTCGAAAGATCTGTTAAAAGATACATATAGTCTCAAGTAATTGAACACAAAAGAACAAAAGTATTGCTTTACCTTCTTCTATCGACAAAACTTGCTTACAAAATTCATCATAGATCTCTAGCTGATCAGGTGCTATCGATAATTTTACTGTCAATGGTAAATTTCTCATTCTAAGTTGATTTTTTATTTCTCTAACCATTGTCTTGACTATAACCTGTTTCGAGCAGGAACTCTGTCCACATCCAATAGCTGGAAATGCAATCGAAGTAAATTTATGTGAAATAGCATTTTGCATAACATTCCATATTAAATCAATAATTGATTGTTGAAGGGCTTCCTCATCGGTGTTAGGCTCCCATTTAACAAAAAATATTCGTTTGCAAGGTAGTTGACCAGGTGAAACTGAAAGTATTAATGAATTTGGATTGTTTTCATGTTCTTTTGCATATGCCATTTGAACATCATCACCAGCTGCATTTATGATTGCTCTTTTCAAGATTTGCGATGATGAACTTCCAATAATAACATCAACCTATCGATCACAACAAAGAAGAGAATATACTTTGTATCGATCAAAAAACAGTTCTTAGTAGTTACCTTTTGTGTTGTTATATCTGCCAGTTGAATTTCCAGCGTTCCTTTTCCAATTGTCATTGATATTGGTTTTATTTCTGAAGCTTGTTGAATTAAGCTAATCTGTTTCTGAAACTCGTCGTAAACATCCTTTCTGTCTGGTTGTATTACAAAGGAAACCGACATAGGATACTTAAGTAGTTGACGATGAACTTCCTTAACGAATGTTCCGGCAACAAGACTGATCGAACATCCATATAGGCCGCAACCAATAGCAGGAATTGCGATGCTTTGATAACTTTCACTTGCTGCTTTTTCCATTGCATTTGAGACGAATGTTTTAACCGAATCACAAAATTTAATGAGATCGGCATCAGGTTGCCATGGAAGAAAGTAAATTGTTTTTGCTGCTACATGACCATTTGCTTTAACTGTAATGATAGGAGCCGTCGGAGTTTTCTTCAATTCAGTCTCGTACGAAACTTTTATCGAATTTCCACCGGATTTGAAAACGTTTTCACACAAAGTCTTTGATGACGAACATACAACAATAACATCGGTCTAAAAAATCGACTATATGAATCTACAATCACTAGTTTTGTATACTTAGACTTACTTGTTCTACTGTTAAATCACCTTGACGAACGTCAATCAATGAATTCAAATCTCTTCGTGTAATTGGATGCTTTAACAAAAGAGATACTGATTATAAAATATATTCTAACATATCTTGAATACGAAAATCTCGATCTCTAGCGGATCAAAGAAACAGATAGTAGTCACAGCAGGTACTTACGATCGACGATTTGCTGAAATTCAAGGTCGGATATCGTGATCGTTTGCAGTTTTCATAGTATAATTTGAAGCAAATGTTCCCTTATTGAAAAAAATATTTTAATTTCAATCCACAATATTTTTCATAGTTACCTGTAAGAGAAATATATAGCGGATCGAGATCTGCGATGCGTCGTTCTAAGAGAGCAATTTGCGATTCAAGATTGATATGTTCCAAACAATCGATAAACCATTTGAAAGCGAGTTCTCGATCATAAGAAGTGGCTCGCTCGTTGTTTATTAACATATCCCAAAGTGCTTCGATATCCTTGAGTGACAAATGGATTTTACCTCTTTCTAGTAGACATAAGAGTAGATCCAGATGAGCTTTCATCGATTCTTCATAGGTAAAACGTCCATCCACTACCCTAGTGAAAGAACTCATACCGGAGTACTCATAAAGTACTCACGCT